GAGTCGAGCCATCCAGGCCGGAACTGGATCCATGGTTAAACGCAAAAACTTCATCGCATAGACAATTGTGTGCAAAATACCAAGAGCCCGAGCCCGTGTCATAGTAGATCACCATGTCCGGAGGATCTGATCCTTCCTGCCTCATTCTTTGATAGACAGGCTTGCCATTCTTCCACTCCGTCATGGCGTAGGTTCCTTGAAGGATGTCGCTCATTTCACTGTCGCTGCTGAAAGGAACGTAGATGATTGGCGGCACCGCGCTCTTTTCATGGCGTTTCAGATGGCCCTCCAATGTTCTGTGATTGCACCGGCTACCGCACAAAGTGCACTTGAACGGGTTACCCTTATGCTTGTTAGTCCAGTCATCGAAGAATTCCACCTGGAGCCGGACAGCCAACTGTTCACACAATTTGCTCAGCCCATACTTGCATCCAGGCTTGACATGCCGTCCCCAGGACTTCCAGCAGCCATGGCAGTAAGTCCGAAGAGTTTCCTGACTGCCAGCACTGCCATTCCAAGAGGAGCTTGCAGCCACCCAATCATTGGAGGTGGAGTCCCACTGATACGAGGTTGAGGCATCCTTGACCCACAACCACGATCCATCTTGCCAGGATCCATTCTGCCAGATTGCCGCCCAGCCGATCTTGACATCAGCGCCACACTTGCAGCACTGATCGAGGCTCATGGCCGCTCTTGGATTTCAGGCGAAATGCCTTCAAGCAACTGTGGCATGCAGTTTTTCCTTCCCTATAGGTACTCTAAGCCCTACTAAACCCTACTAAACTCGACTTAAACTCTGCTCTGCTGTGGATGGCTGTGGCGCCGGTAACACCTTTAGGGTTTTGGGTTTAGGGTTTAGGGTTTAGGCCTCCTAGGTGAGAGCTCGGAGCCTCGAGGCATCGCATCCGGCTTTGGTTTCGGGCTTGTAGGCGATATGACGTACGGAGTACCCTAAACCCTAAACCCTAAACCCTAAACCCTAAACCCTAAACCCTAAACCCTAAACCCTAAACCCTAAACCCTAAACCCTAAACCCTAAACCCTAAACCCTAGAAAGGGTTCCAGATTTCGGGATTCAGGGGGGCTCCTCCGGTGGGCTTCTTGCTGTTGCAACTGCGACCGTTGCTGTGGTCCTCCGGCTAAGCACACACAGGCCAAGGCCAACAAGCACTTTGATCATGCTCATGGCCCAAAACCCTAAACCCTAAACCCTAAACTCTAAACCCTATGGCCCTGAAAAACCTGAACCCCTCAAAACCCTGAGCCCGAAACCGTGGCAGCTGTGGCTCCAATTCCGCACCCGCCCTGGCGCCTAACGGCCGGCTTGCGTCATCAAGGCGTGCGGCGATGGCGCCTGGGCCCACACCTGGCAAAGCATGGCGCCCCCGAAGAGGGAAGAGATGTCCATCAGCGTCAAGGGTGGATTTAAGAATTCTGGGACAACCACTTGGAGGTTCATGGGTACTTAGAACCCTTTTAAGTAATTAAGTATCCTCAATAAGGTTGTAACCACAGTTACCCTACGCATACTCCTTCTTATGAGTAGTTACCCGTGAACCTCCGAGCAGGGGTTGAAGGATTGAATGCAAAAAACGAGAAGAAAGGATCAAGGCTTCCCAACAATCCACTCCCCTGAGAAGCAAGCTGGAGGGAGCGGCTTGCTATTTGGGGATTGGGGTTTAGGGCTTAAGAAAGTCGCTAAGAGTGACCATAAACCCTAAACCCGACAATGCATTCTGATAGAATCCCCAAGAAAGGGCTCATAATTTAGAGAACCGCCCATTTGAGCACACAAGCCGCGTAGGGTATTTCTGGCCAGGGGCCCCGCTCACACAAGCTAGGATTGCCCTTAAAACCCTCTTAAACCGTAAACCTTAAACCCCAAGCCCTGATAAATGGCCTACAAGGTCCCGGTAAGCCATGGGAACCCTCCATGTAAGGATATCTCAAGGCCTTGGGGTTCAACTTAGAGGGTATGGGGTTCAGGGCTCAGGGTTTAGGGGTTTCGAAACCCTAAACCCCAAACCGCGGGGTTTAGGCTTTATGGGTTTAGGGATCCCCAAAGCCCATGCCGCCTCGCAACCATGCGCGTCAGAATGCAGCACCTCTTCAGAAGCACACAGTTTAGGGTTCAGAGTTTAGGATATGGGGTTTAGGGTGTGATTGGGATTCAGAGCCTTACCCAGGATGGCCCTTAAAACCCTCTGAAAGATATTCCTCATATCTTAAACCCAAGAAGAAGGGCCTACCGGTCTACTTTTCCGACACTTAGCTTGAACACTCCCCCTTCCATGGAAGGCTTGGGTCCTTCTAGGGTTGAGGTTCAATTTGGTACTCCGCTCCTTGGTGCGACTGTGGAGAGTTTAGGGTTCAGGGTTGCGGGCTTAGGGTAGGATTTATACGACGGGGCCTCAGAATCATACGAACAAGGCACCAAAGTTTTGAGAACTGCTCACATGAGTTGGGTTCTACCAATATGCCCCCCCAATCCCTGACCGATTCCCAACCCTTGTCACCACAAACATCCCTAAACCCTAAACCCTAAACCCTAAACCCTAAACCCTAAACCCTAAACCCTAAACCCTAAACCCTAAACCCTAAACCCTAAACCCATGAAACAACGTTGAAGTCAGGGAACGCTCTCCGCCCTTCGAGCTGTGCATGCCGATGAGACGGTCTCCCGAGCACATGAAATCCTAAGCCTCAGGGATCGAAATGACCATTGTAGGACTAGGACACAAGGTGAACGGAAACATGTAACCCCCGAAGCCTCCAAGGCCAAAGTAAGCAGACATGCAACAAAAAACCCCACTGCTTGAAAGCAGGAGCCTCTCCACATCGGCTTACACAAGGAGCATCAGTACGAGGATGGTTTTCGATGACCTTGAGCGAAGGAAAAAAAGCTTCATCGCATCACGGGGAGCCCTTCATCAATGGGTTTTCTTCTGGGTCTTCCCGCTTGGCTTGGGCTTTCCTGGGCTTCTGAGGTGGACCCAAACCCTATAAACCCTATAAACCCTATAAACCCTATAAACCCTATAAATCCTATAAACCCTATAAACCCTAGAAACCCTATAAACCCTACAAACCCTCCTACCAGGTCTCGACCGTGGCCATCTCTGCTGAAGTGCTCTTTTTGCTCTTTGCCTTTGCGTCAGCTAAGCTTTTGGGGGCTCGTCCTCCATGGCCAAGGAGGCGAGCTGCTGCACGATGGCCGCCCCACCTTGGTAGCCCCAGTATCCATCTTATAATAAGGGCACCCCTTAACCAAAAAAAAAAAAACCTAAACCCTAAACCCTAAACCCTAAACCCTAAACCCTAAACCCTAAACCCTAAACCCTAAACCCTAAACCCTAAACCCTAAACCCTACCAAGCCACTGAGGGCGCTGAGGATGCCCAGGGACACGCCCACCCAGTCGAGGCTCGGGCCCGAGCCTGAGAGGGCCGCGGCGAGGGAGGCGGCCGCAGCCCCCGAGTAGACGTTGGAGGCTAGGGGCCTTGGTTGCTGAGTTCATAAGCCCCCCCAAAAGGTGTGCACTTTCAGTTTTCTAGGGGGAGTAGAGTATCCCCAAAAAGTGTAAAGTGTACTCACTCAGCTACTAAGGGGCGGTAGCATCCCAAGGAGGGTCCCTGGTAGAAAGGAGCTGAAGGGTACGCCGGCCAGTGGTAAGGCGTAGTTGTTGATGAAGGAAGGCACCGGAGAGAGCCGAGCCAGCAAGCAGAAGCGAAAGGCGTCGCGCTTCACGCCCCTCTCCAGCTTCTCGGTCCAGTCTTGCCCCTCGAGATCAAGTCGCTCCTGTATCCACTGCCCTGGGGGACTATCACGAGCCGTCCGTGCGACGAAGAAAGTCGCGGCTGCAGCGGTGCCCTTGGCAGTAGCCACCACGGCCACTCCGGGAAGGAATCCGAAGACAGCGCCGGCTGTGAGCTCGAAGATTGCCGTGCCCGGAAAGCACAAGACGATCGCAAAGATGTGAGCAGCGATGAATGGCAATGCTCCAAGTCCTCCATATTCCCCTTTCAACCACCATCCAAGTTAGTGTTCTCCCTTATGCGCTTACTCTGGATATATACATATATATATATATATGTATATGCGCGTGTATACATACATATATATATATATATACACACAACCACGTAGGCAACAATAGAGCACAATTCCTCAGGAGACTCGGTCCTGAGGTATCGCCACGGATCCATTCACCGAGACCTGCGGCCAGCGAGGCGCTGCTGATCGCCCCATCACTTCCAACATCAGCAGCCATTGCCCAATCTGCACACAACCTAGGTAATTTGGGTAACCTATAGTAATAACCTATAGTAAACTAGGAACATAGGTAATTTAGGTAGCCAAAAGTAAACTAGTAAACAAAGGTAATTAAGGCCACCCATAGTAAACTAGTACACATCACATAGGCAATGCCACAGAAAGCATAAGAACATAAATGAAACGGTAAGAACAAACAAGACTACATCTCTTTTCTGTTGATGTGTGGCATGTATCAAGAAACCAAAGAAAACAGAACGGGATACCGCTCGCCTTCCTAGCCACAAGGCGGGAACCCAGGCCAGGGCAAGGCAGGCCGCCGCGCGCAGACTTCTGGGGCCCGCAGCAACTGCTTGCTGGTCATGCCAAGAACCTACGTGCCCGAAAAAACCAAGAAGAAAAGCAGGGCGCCTTCTGCTGCCTTGAGAGCTGCTTATGGGGGGAGATTCGGACACTTGAACGAAGGGACTTGCATTGCTCGCTGCATCCTAGGAGCATGCCCTTGCGACCCGTCTTCCTTTCATGCTGCAAGCTCCGAGCATGGCGAGGGCTGCGCAAGCAGATCGGTGGATGGGAGAAAGCGCCGTCGCTGCAGACAGCGCGGGCGGCGATGAAGGCAATCGCAAGCGCGTCACCCGGCTTGCAGCAGCCGAGCGGTGCGCGAGCAAGTCCATGCCTACACAAGCCATGCTCGCACCCGGCCGGCAGAGTACCCACCAACCTCTAAACTCTAAGCCCTAAGCCCTAAACCCTAAGGCCGAAGCCGTAAACCCTAATTAAACGCCTAGAACCAGAAGTCTTATGGAGACTGCAGTCCGAATCCTACTGGGAAGAGCGGTGCTATGTGATGCTGGGGCCGAAGCATGCTTTCAAGCCGGAGGCATCGAGAGACAACGAAGCACGACAGGGCCATGACTCTGCATCTGCTCTCTGTTCAGAACGACTTGAAGAGGTTCATGGGTACTTACAGGTACGGATGGAAGGTAGGGTAACTATGGTTATAACCTTATTGAAGGTTCTTATAACCCTACTCATAACACCCTAAACCCTCAAACTCTGAAGCCCTTACGGCCTGAACCCTTAAACCCTAAACCCAGCCAGGTCTCAATCGATATGAACCCTCGAACCCGAAACGCTGTACCCTCTATTGTGCGATTTATGGGCCCTAAATGCCCTAAACCCTAAACAAAGAGCTTTAGGGCTTAGGGCTTAGGGCTTAGGGTTTAGGGTTTATCCGAACAGAAGGGACTGTCATCCGACAGGGGGGTCTAAGTCTACGCGTCGTCTACAATACGTCGGAGTGTCCAAGCTGGGGTGTTCCCCCCTGTAGCGCACTCCCCCAAAAAAGGGCCAATGATTGTACACCTACCCACAAAATGTTACCCCCTACTTTGGGCTTGTTTTTTGAGCTGCAGGGCGTGTTTTACTCTGAGCTTCTCCGGAAACCCCAGGGCCTAAACCTGAAACCCTAAACCCTACACCCTGAACCCTAAGGGTTTACGAAGCTTTGGTGCATTCTGGCCACGGCTCGCGGCCCAGCGAGGGCACGGTTGACAATGGCACCAGAAGAGCTTGGGGACAAGCTCTCAACGGGGTTCAGGGTTCAGGGTTCAGGGTTTAGGGTTTCGGGTCTAGGGCTTCATATGTTTAGACATAGAGCTTCGGGGCGTCTTTTATTTGGGGCCTCGGGCTTGAGGGTAATTACCTAACCCGGAGGTCCATGGGTACTTGTAAGTAGGGTTATAAGGTAGGGTAGTGATGGATATTACCGTAGTTCGGGTTCCTGTAGCTTACCTACTTCTAAGTACCCATAAAGCTTCAAGTACGCAAGGTCCTACAGGATGGCTAGACTCTCCTCGGCAGTTCGTCCCTTCATCGGCCGCAGGTGCCGTACATCCCCTTCAGAACCCTCCAAGGCCTTTTGGGATCCCTCTTCCCACTTTCCCATAACCCCCCCCCCCCCCCCAACCCATACCCCAACCCCCCCTCCCCCCCAGCCCCTAAACCCAAAACCCCAACCTGAACCCTCCCCCCCACCTGTGTGCAGCTTGGCTGCTTGCGGACCCATCTCTCTTTGCGTGTGCCGACACGACATGGCCATGGAGGCTCTCCTATCGAGCAGCCTCGCCATTACCTTTACAAAAATTGGACAACTTCAAAAAGAAGTGAATGAATAAAACTAACCAATTATTCATCCTTAATGGATACATCTCTTACAACATTTACAAAATAAGTGAATGAGTGAATGAACAAAACAAAATATAAACACAAGCAGACACAACAATGGTTTTTTAAAATTTCAAGGTAGACTTCCCTTTTCTTTTTGAAGACGGTCCATGCTGTGACTAAGGGCTGAGAGCCGCAAGCAGTCTGCGACTCTCCTCGGGGCAGAGTGCAGGGGCAACCCGGAAGCCCCCTTGACATCTTAGGACTCGTGACTCCAGCGAAAGCACTCCTTCTGGCCTAAACCCTAAACCCTAAACCCTAAACCCTAAACCCTAAACCCTAAACCCCAAACCCTACGACTGCTTCGCGCGACAGTGTTGCCGTTGGGCTGAGGGCTTGTGCTTGGAGGTGCAGGGTACTTCTACCCCAATTACAAGTGCAGTTATAACGCACTTATAAGCCCCTCAAGTACCCTAAACAGGGTCATTATTGGGTTATAAATACACTCATAAATGGGTCCTCCAAGTAGGGTTAGCAGCAGCATGATATCATGAGCCGCCAACAGCTCACCACGCCCGCAGCAAGCATGTCGTTGGTCTGCCCGAAGCCCTCAACCCGATAAACCCGATAAACCCGATAAACCCTGTAAACCCTATAAACCCTACAAACCCTATAAACCCTGAAGGGCAAAAACCCGAAACCTTTTTGTGTCTACGGTCGCAGAGGGGCTAGAGCAGATCCTGGGAGAGCTTGTCTTTAGGGTTTAGTGTTGGGATGCTCGCTCGCCCCCCCCCCCCATGATCCACACATTTGGCCTCGGGAAGGGGGTTTTGGGAGGGGGGGGGACTCCAGACTCCAGATTTCCAGAAAAAATCTGGAGTACCCAGCCCCGGACTCCAGACTCCAGATTTCTAGAAAAAATCTGGAGCACCCCCAGACTCCAGACTCCAGATTTCCGCACCCCCAGACTCCAGACTCCAGATGTCCAGAAAAAATCTGGAGTACCTCCAGACTCCAGATTTCCAAAAAAAATCTGGAGTACCGAGACTCTGGACTCCAGATTCTGGAGTCTGCAATCTGGAGTCTGGGGCCGCGAGTACTCCAGATTTTTTCTGGAAATCTGGAGTCTGGAGTCTGGGGTCCCGGTACTCCAAATTTTTTCTGGAAATCTGGAGTCTGGAGTCCGGGGCCCGGGTACTCCAGATTTTTTCTGGAAATCTGGAGTCTGGAGTCCGGGGCCCAGGTACTCCAGATTTTTTCTGGAAATCTGGAGTCTGGAGTCCGGGGCCCGGGTACTCCAGATTTTTTCTGGAAATCTGGAGTCTGGAGTCCGGGGCCCGGGTACTCCAGATTTTTTCTGGAAATCTGGAGTCTGGAGTCCGGGGCCCGGGTACTCCAGATTTTTTCTGGAAATCTGGAGTCTGGAGTCCGGGGCCCGGGTACTCCAGATTTTTTCTGGAAATCTGGAGTCTGGAGTCCGGGGCGCGGGTACAAATCTGGAGTCTGGAGTCCGGGGCCCGGGTACTCCAGATTTTTTCTGGAAATCTGGAGTCTGGAGTCCGGGGCCCGGGCACTCCAGATTTTTTCTGGAAATCTAGTGTTTAGGGTTTAGTGTGTAGGTTTCAGGGTTTAGTGTTTTGTGTTTAGGGTTGAGTGTTAAGTTTAGGTTTTAGGGTTGAGGGTCAAGCGGCTCGGCTAAAACCCAAATAAAACCCTAAACTCTGAAATCCAAACAGGAAGCATCTGAAAACCCGACGGGCTTTTGGTTTCAGGTTTAGATTTAGTAGGGCTCGAGGTTCTGGCCTTGGGGTTTGCTGTTTAGGGTTTAGGGTTTAGTGTCTAATGTTTAGGGTTTAGTTTGAAATGTTTAAGGTTTAGTTTTTGGGTTAAGTGCTTCAATGTTTAGGGTTTCGTGCTAAGTGTTTGGGGTTTGTGCTAAGGGCTTAGTGTTAAGTTTTTAGGGTTAGTGTTTAGGGTTTAGTGTTGAGGGTTTCGGGTTTTGGGTTTTAGGTTAAGGGTTTTAAGGATTTTTACAAATTTAAATGATCTGGGGAAGGCACCGGGGCTGCCCCAGACCATTGACAACTTAAAAAATCATTCTGTTTAGGCTTTAGGGTTTAGTGTGTAGGGTTTAGTGTGTAGTGGTTAGGGTTTAGTTTGTAGGGTGTAGTGTTTAAGTGTTTAGGGGTTAGTGTTTAGTAAGGGTTTAGTGCGTAAGTGTTTAGGGTTTCGTGTTCAGAGTTTGGGGTTCGTGCTAAGGGCGTAGTGTTAAGCTTTTAGGGTTAGTGTTTACGCTGGTGTTTAGGCTTCAGTGCTAAGGGTTTCGGTTTTTTTGGGTTAAGGGTTTAGTGTGTAATGTTTAGGGTTTAGTTTTTAGGGGTGCTTAGGTGTTTAGGGTTCCCTGTTAAGTGTTTGGGGTTTGTGCTAAGGGCTTAGTGTTAAGTTTTTACGGTTAGTGTTTAGGGTCTGGTGCTGAGTGTTTAGGGTTTAGTAGTGCTTAAGTGTTGAGGGTTTCGTGGCAAGTGTTTGGGGTTTGTGGGCCTAGTGTTAAGTTTTTAGGGGTAGTGTTTAGGGTCTAGTGCTGAGTGTTTGGGGTTTAGTGTGAAGGGTTTCAGTTTGGTTTTTTGGATTTAGGGTTTTAAGGATGTTTACTAGTGTTCAGGGTTTAGTGTGTAGGGTTTAGTGTGTAATGTTCAGGGTTTTGTTTTAGGGTGTAGTGTTTGAGTGTTTCGTGTTTAGGGTCTAGTGCTTAAGTGTTTAGGGTTTCATGTTAAGTGCTTGGGGTTTGTGCTAAGGGCTTAGTGTGAAGTTTTTGGGTTAGTGTTTAGGGTCTGGTGCTGAGTGTTTAGGGTTTAGAGCTAAGGGTTTCGGGGTTGGATTTCAGGGTTAAGGGGTTTGAGGGTTTTTGCAAGTTTACATGATCTGGGGAAGGAGGCACTGGGGCTTCCCCAGACCCACCTAAACATTAAAAATCCTTAAAATCTTATAAAAATCTTTAAGCTTCTGTTTAAGCATTCTCAGGATTATGAAGGTTTTAAGCCGTTTAAGCCTTTTAAAGACCTTAAATTGCTTACGTATTTAAGTGGCTGCACTTTGCGGATTTTAGAGATTGTTGAAGTTGCCAATGGTCTGGAGAAGCCCCGGTGCCTTCCCCAGACAATATAAAATTTGTAAAATCCGTAAAACCCTGAAATTCTTACAGTTGTAAATGGCTGTCCTTTTAAAGTTTAAAGATTTTAGGATGTTCAATTCTAAAATCCGTAACTTCCTTAATTTTAAACGGCTGCCCGTTTTAAATTTTAAAGAAGTTTAGGCTTTTAAGGGATAAACGTTTCGAGGTTGTTAAGGGCTTTAAAGCCTGTTAAGATCCTTTAAATCTTGAAAATTTTGAAAGGCTTTAAATACCTTAAAGCCCTTCAAATTTGAAAAGGGCTGCCCCTTTTAAGGATCTTTAAAATTGCAAATGGTCTGGGGAAGCCCCGGTGCCTTCCACAGATCATCTAAATTTTTACAAACCCCTAAAACCTAAAACCAACCCTGAAAAGCCTTAAGCTTCTAAATGGCTACCCTTCTAAAATTTTATAGAGCCGCATAACACAAGTTTCAGAAGCAAAATGCACATAAAAACACTAGTGTTTTTATAGAGGATAATATAATAGAGCTTTTTGTATTCCAGTGCAGTTTTTACTGCATTTTTCCGGTGAAAAAACAGAAAATCAGACAAAGACGAAGACAGGAAAACCATAGGTGTGGATCATGGGGGGGGGGGCTGACCGGATGCTCCCCCTTATGCTAACAGCACTGAATGGGGATTATCGTACCTACTAAGGACTATTCGTATAAGGGGGAGCATCCCAAGTTTAGGGTCTAGTTAAAGGGTCAGGGTTTAGGGCGAATCCCTATAACCTGTTGCAAGGGCAAGGGAAGGCCTCGGCAGACGCTTGCCCCAAGTGAGACATGAGAGCGGATTTTAATTTGGAGCATTGCGGTCTTTTCTAGGCGGTCCAGGGTTTAGGGTTTAGTGTTTAGGGTGTTTGCTGCAACCTGCACGCCCTCGAACGCCGTTTTGGCCTGCGTAGATGGGTTCAGCTGGCAATATGCGATTAGCATGAGCCAGGATTTCAGATCATAAAGACTCGAAAGAAGGGAGAGAGAAGGAACAACACAACAGATGGAGAGAGAGAGAGATAAAACAAAAAAACAAAATCAGAGCGAGAAAGAGAGAGAGAGAGAGAGAGAGAAAAGATTAACAAAGAAACAAGGAGAGACAGAGAGAGAGAGAGAGAGAGTGTGTGTGAGGAGAGCATGCATTCTTGGGAAGTCGGGAACTTCCGATTGTCTGGTGGCTCAACATCGCTCAATTCCGACAGCCTCCTCAGCTGCATTCGCCTGCCATGCGAAGTCTCAAAGTCCACCGGGAACAGGCTGGTACCCACAAACTCGCCTGAGACGATGTGAGACCTGCGAAGCAGGACTCGACTGGCAATTCACGGAGAGCCTGTTTGCATGCCAGTCGCTCAGACAGTCGGACAGGTATCCCGGCAAAGGGGGCAGGAGAAGCTGCATCGCTTCAGCGCGTGCCAGACGGCATGACAGTGTTGATGGAAGGCATGTCCGCACGGTAGCAGCGTCACCTCATCCTGGGCAGCGAAATCCTCCAGGCAGAAGACGCAGGTCTCAGAAAGGCATGGCCGGTACAAGAGGTCCACCTCCTCCAGGACCCTGATGGTGACCTCTGAAGCTCCTGCGTCATCTACGCACGTCCAGACAAGAACGCGGTGGAACCTGGGTGCTGTCGTTTCCATGGAGCCGTAAACTGCCGGTGCCCAAACATGTTCCTGTAGGTCCTGTGCATGGACCTCCTCGACATATCGGTTTCTGACATGGATGGATGTGCGGGAGATGAAGACCAGAGCCGTCAGAAACATCACAATGACCAGGACCTTGAGAGGAAGCGACCTGGCTGGAAGCATTCCCAGCAAAGGCGCGGTTTAGGGTTTAGGGTCTAGGGCATGTTGAAAGTTCACCGAAACCCTAGACCCTAGACCCTAAACCCTGGACCCTAAACCCTAAACCCTAAACCCTGTTTAAATCAAGTTGAACTCCGGGACGTCTTCGCTGCTTACTACAGCACAGCAAAAAAAACACATCCCTAAACCCTAAACCCTAAACCCTAAACATTTTCTTTTGAAGCATGTGCACTTGGATGGCAAGAGCGTGTAGACCAATCCAGCAGTGAGGAAGATCGTGAAAGAGCAGAGGCAGCATGCTTCCTTCAACGTCGGCGCCGCACCCAATCGGATGACGATCATGTCCATTGCCATAGCTCCGAGAAACGACTCGAGCCCTTTGCACACCACAGCCAAAGGTTTAGGATTTAGGGTTTAGGGTTAAAGTTTAGGGTTTACGGATAAGGGTTGATTATCTTAGGGTTTAGGGTCCATGGCTCCGAGAAACGACTTGAGCCCCTTGCAGCCGAAGAGAAGCCGGCATGATGGGCAGGACACCCGACTGGACATGAAACCCTAAACCCTAAACCCTAAACCCTAAACCCTGAACCCTAAATTGCTTTCAGTCGACGTCGAGGTCTCAAGGCCTTAACAGCTCCACCTTGAACCCTGCCCTAAAAAAACACACATAGGCCTTGGGATCCCCCTGAAGCTAACAGGGGGTACTATAGTCCCTACTAAGGACTGTTAGCACAAGGGGGAAGATCCCAAACATAGGCCCCAGACCGAAGTCCTGATCCTCTGAGCCTCTGAACGCTAAAACCTGCAGGTGCTCTTCACAAAGCCCAGGTGGTGGCACCATGCCTGTGAGGTTGAGGAGCTAGGGAGTTGAGGAAGCCGCCCGCGTGACTTTTTAAAGCTCGCGGTCTTTGGCAGCAGCTGCTTGCGCGCACGGCGCCAGCCGCCGCTGCGATTATGCATCTTCGATGCTAAACCATGTTAAGCCGCACAACAACGGCATGTCTCGCCAGGCCTCCTATGAGTAGATGGATCGTCGGGATCCCGGCATGGCGTCGCCTGCCAGGGATTCTTCTATTCAAGAAAGGCCACTCTTGTATCGCACATGGTGCAAGCCCAAAACGCCCTGCCCCCTCCCCAACAAACAGCGAAAAACTGATTGGAGTCAAGTCGGTGCAAAGGTCGCCTGGCGGCGCTTCGCAGTCCTTCCTCCTGGGCAGCGGCTTAGGTACTGGCTTGGGAGCTGGTTGAACTGGTTGGGGCCTGCAGCTGGGTCGGGAAGTTGGCCGCGCTTGCTGCGGCGCTTGCTCGGCGGGCGCTCGCTCGGTGGGCGCTTGCATGGTGGGCGCCTGCACGGTGGGCGCTTGCATGGTGGGCACCTGCACGGTGGGCCCTTGCATTGTGGGCGTTTGCATGGTGGGCGGAGGAGAAACTTGCTCAGGCGCGGCATGGGCGGGCACTGCGGCAGGCGCTGCAGCCTGGAGTGGCACGGGGGGCCCAAGGGGCCCGAAGGGCCCGAAGTGCTGCACGAAGTGCACGACGGCAGGGCCGATGCCGTACATCGTGCTGCCGACGGCTGCAGTGGCGGGCTCAGGGGGCATCCATCCTGTCGGCGTGCCGGGGGCGGCGTTGCCCCGGCCATCACAGGCCGGTGTGCCAGAGCCATCCGTCCAGCCGTTCCTTGGTGTGCCAGGAGCCGGCAGTGGTGTGCTAGACCCGCCAGTCCAGTGAGGCGGTGTGGCCGGTGCAGCTCCAAGCGGTTGCAAGTTTGGCGTGCCAGGCTGCATCCCTGAAAAGACAGGTGTGCGTGCTGCTGGCACGGCAACAGACCGCGCCGCAGCAGGAGCAGGAACTGAAGCCCCGATGCTCAGCTTGTCCAACTCCTCGGGGCTCGGCGATCCGTCATGCATGAGCCCCCCCGCCCCCCCCCCCCCCCCCGCAGAAAAAGGCGTCCCGAACATCCTAGAAGCATGCGAAGCGAATTGTTTCACAAGATCCTCCAATCCCTATAGCGGCCCTGAAGCTCAGGAGCCTCCACCGTGAGCGCTTTGTAGTAGCAACGCGTCGATGGGTCGTGTTCTTGCCACGAGCCTAGGCTGGGGCTCCGCACTAGTGACTGTTGAGACGTCGTTTCGGGCAGTTTGTGCCGGCGGTGAGCACCTTGTGGAAGGATTCGTTGCAGGGCGACTAGCTTCTCAAGAGTTCTGATATATGTCTTCGGGCGCACGTGTTTTTTGAACTTTGTGGATCCCCCGACCCAGAACGCTTCACCCATAAAGAGGCTCCAGAAACCATTCCCCAGGTTCTCGTACCACATGTCCATCCGGTTGCTGTAGAAGAGGATTCCAGGCTCCTCTTGGACTTAGGGAAGTCTGTTTAGGGTTTAGGGTTTAGGGTTTAGGGTTTAGGGTTTAGGGTTTAGGGTTTAGGGTTTAGGGTTTAGGGTTTAGGGTTTAGGGTTTAGGGTTTAGGGTTGAAGCTCTTCAGGGTTCGGTGCGTAGGGGTCCTTTAGCTCACCGCTCTTTACCTGGGCGAAGAGGTCCATGTCTGTCACCGGATCGTACCGAGGGCACATAACCCAGCGCTCCATGCGGAACCTGGGTCGGGCCGATCAAATCCGGGTAGAATGTACGGTCACAATAACCAAGAGGGTTTGCGTTTTTTTTTTTTTTTTTTGGGGGGGGGGGGGGGGGAGGGGGGGGGGTTGTAGAGGCTCGAACCCCTCATTGTTTACGAAAATGAAGACGGGCCGACCGGCCGACCAAGACGCTTGGGCATTGGGGTTGATCCGTGGTTTGGACACTGCAAGGGACGAATAAGTGGATGGCCAGCCACCCTCCACCCAACCTAAACCCTAAACCCTAAACCCTAAACCCTAAACCCTAAACCCTACACCCTCAACCTCATCTTGAAATCCTGAAGCCTCCCGAAGAAACCTCTCTAACAAGTCTCTAAGTTTCTTTACCAGCCGCAAGGCCTGCTGACCCCGACGAGGAGCTGGTAGTATGCGAAAAGATCTCCACCATCCTTCCAAGGAGCACTAAACCCTAAACCCTAAACCCTAAACACTAAACCCTAAACCCTAAACCCTAAACCCAGGAGCACTAGCACCCCCCCACATCTCAATGAAGCTGCTTTGGACGCATCAAGCCCTGCAGAATCATCCCAAGTACCGCTGGGCTTCAAGTTGTTCCGGGAGGGATAGAGTTGAACAGCACTGAGCATCAGAATCATTACAGGAACCGCAGCTCAAGACCCGGTGTTCCGCCTCATTCGCCACAGCTCGTCGGTACCCCTATGGTTTTTCATGCGGGCCGCAGGTCCCAGGACATCTCCGCGGTGGCAGCGCCGCTTGAAATCCGCCGATTCCAAGGATTCGTGCGCTCGCGGCTTGGCGCAGGGACGGGGGACTCTGCGCCACGCTGCCTTAGAAACCCTGCCTCTTCCGAGAGGTGTGCTGTGTACTCAAGGTGCCCTACACCCTGCTCCCTATAGGATTCAAGATGCTCCCAGAAAGATGCTCTCACAAAGATGGAGGGCCCTATCAAGAGACGAAAATGGAGGAGATCTCTATGAGGGCTACCATGCAAATCGGAACCTCGGCTTTTTGCGCGGTGCCAGAGGTCCTAAATATAGGTCATACTACAGGCGCCCACCCTGCCTGTAGTCCTACACACTACAATAGACTATTAAGTTTATATGTACATATTTATCTTTATATCATATTTACATTTATTTATGTATATATATATACTCATTTATTGTTAAATCTATTTCTTTACATCTTTATTGATTTATTAATATTTCAATATTTTTGCTTAAGAAATACTTACACACTACTTGCACACTGCCTTAAGGTCCTTCAAATTGGCCATAAGGTCTCGCGCCTTCCAGACGGAAGGGTAGGGCTCTCCCTTGTCGTTGAAGAGCTGGTGCCATGGCCCCATTCGCTGCCTGCGGTTTGGAGTTTTGGGTTCAGGTGTAGGGTTTAAGGTTTAGGGTTTAGGGTTTAGGGTTTAGGGTTTAGGGTTTAGGATGCACCTAAACCTAAACCGAGACTCCGAACTGCAAGGCATCGAGGACCTTGCTTGTGGTGGCTGCGGCGTGTTTCCCTGAATTATAACCCTAAACCCTAAAGACCTACACCCTCCACCCTACTAAAAAGCCCTGACTACGTCCGCCCCCAGACGATGCCAAAAGCAATCAACCCTCAAGCAGCGAGAGGTTTAGGATTTAGGGTTTAGGGTTGAGAGTTTAGGGTTTTCCCCGGTCGTCCCCTTTGTTGCTCCCACCTCCAGATTCCATTGAGATGGGCTTGGAAGAAGTTCTGCAGCTGCCAGCCCGACGAGCCCGACGAGTTGCCTTGCTGTCGTGGTTTAGAAGGCTTTCGGGAGTTATGGGGCTGTTGGGGGTTTATAGGTTTCTTTCTATTTTTTCCCTAAACCCTAAACCCTAAACCCTAAACCCTAAACCCTAAACCCTAAACCCTAAACCCTGAACCCTGAACCCTAAAGGGCTTGCAGGGTTTATAGAGTTTAGGGTTTGACGAGCCCAACCATGAGCCCGGGGAGTTGCCTTGCATCTCAGGGGTTTTGGGGGTAGCTTTTAAGGGTGCTGGTTGGGGTTTTATAGGGTTCTATAGGGGGGGTTGAGGGTTCAGGGCTTAGGGTTTAGGGTTTAGGGTTTGGGGTTTTAGGGTTTAGGGTTTAGGGTTTTAGGGTTTAGGGTTTAGGGTTTAGGGTTTAGGGTTTAGGGTTTAGGGTTTTAGGGTTTAGGGTTTAGGGTTTTAGGGTTCTAGGGTTGTAGAGTTTATAGGGACTTAGGGTGGAGGTCGCACAATGACCTCTGATATTGAGGCCTTACGAGTTAGACTGGGGTTTTTGGGGGGTTCTTCTAGTATATTCATAAAAGGGAATAGATGGGAATTCTACGTATGAGCAACTATTCCGACCCCTAGATTATGGCCAACCGAAGCCCTGTAACACCCTAAACCCTAAACCCTAAACCCTAAACCTGAACCCTAGACCCTAAGCCCTAAACCCTAAACCCTAAACCCTAAACCCTAAACCCCCGACATGCCACCAAGGGGGCCCCCAGAGGTGAGGCCCTGCACTGCCCGATCTTCCACTTCGCAGACCTGCGCCCGGGGTTCTCTCAGAGGTTTAGGGTTTAGGGTTTAGGGTTTAGGGTTCAGGGTTTAGGGTTTAGAGAGGTTCTCTCAGGTTTTTCTGAGGTTCTCTGGCTGAGGATTGCGAACAGATTGCAACGCACCACAGAACCTCTTCAATTACTCGGAGGTTCATGGCCACTTCTGAACCCAATTACTCTTTGAACGAGGGCTACTTTCTGGTTCTTAGGAATTCGGGTCTATAGGGGCCCCTAACTGGGCCTTAAATTGTCAAGAAACCATCACAATCAGCCCCAACAACGCTGAGCCCTAATTCCTAAACCCTAAACCCTAAACCCTAAACCCTAAACCCTAAACCCTAAACCCTCCGGAGACCCTGGCCTTTTGTCTCTTGGCAACCGGCCCCAGGTTCTCGTTTGAATGCTCGTCTTGGCCGCGGCGCTCCTTCTTCTCTTTGTCCTCCTGCCTCTTCTCTTTCTTCTTCTCCTAGCTTGCTCAGGAACCTAGGATTAATAGGAGTGTGCTTTCTTGCTTACAGGGGTTTAAACGGGAACCTGAGCTCCCCAAAACAAAGGGAATACGGGTACTGCTGGGCATCCTAGTCTCTTTCGCATCTTTCTTCTCCTTGGCGTCCTTTGTCCGCTTGGGTGGGCTGCTGAGCATCTCGGCCCTTTGCTGATGGAGCCGCTGGGCATATTCCTTTCGATCCTCGGCCCATTCAGGTGCGAGACCTTTCGAGGGTTTCTGAACCCTGAACCCTGAACCCTGAACCCTGAACCCTGAACCCTAAACCCTAAACCCTAAACCCTAAACCCTAAACCCTAAACCCTAAACCCTAAACCCTAAACCCCCAGTTGTTCACTTGCAAGGCCAAGGCACAGAGATCAGTGGGATGGCGGAACGCCAATCCCAACCCATTGGCGACCCAGACCTTAGGAGCAGTCGGTTTAGGGTTTAGGGTTTAGGGTTTAGGGTTTAGGGTTTAGGGTTTAGGGTTTAGGGTTTAGGGTTTAGGGTTGAGGGGGTTTAGGGTATGTGTTGGGGTTAGGAGCAGTCGGTTTAGGGTTCAGGGATGAGGGTTGAGGGTATGTGTGAGGGTTAGGAGCAGTCGGTTTATGGTTTAGGGTTGAGGGCTTTGGGTTTAGGGTATGTGCTAGGGTACAGGGTTTTAGGGTTTAGAGTTCAGGGTTTCGGGCTTGAGGTAGACGCCTTTAAGCTTTAGAGTTGAGGTTCATGTGGGAGTCTCTCTAGGGGCGAATCCAAGCAGAAGACGAGAAACCCTAAACCTTAAACCCTAAACCCTAAACCCTAAACCCTAAAACCGAAACCCTAAACCCTAAACCCCTTCGAAGGGCCAAGCATGCCAAAGAACTTTCTAGGCGGGGGCAACCACAGCGCAGGCCCCCCCCCCCCCCCCCCCCCCGCCGAGGAGTTTAGGGTTTAGGGTTTAGGGTTTAGCGTTTAGGGTTCAGGGTTTAGGGCTAACCCCCCCCACCCCCACTACCCTGGAGCAGCTCCTCAAGAGTTTTCGGTAAGAGGCTTTAGGGTTTAAGGTTTAGGGTTTAGGGTTTCGGGTTTCGGGTTTAGGGCTGATGTGGGTCCGGGCGGCGAGAAGGCCTGGTGCGCGGATTTGCGCTCCCTGCCCTGCGAGAAGAACACCTTTTGGCATCTGCACCTGGCTTAGAGCTTGCGGTTTAGGATTCTTTTTGCTTTAGTTTGTTTTGGGGTTTAGGGTTTCAGGCTTGGGGTTTAGGGTTTAGCGGGGCTTTTTGGTTTCGGGTTTGATGGTTTTACGCGTTTTAGGTTTTAGGGTCTAGGGCTCGAAGTATTTGCTTCAGATTGGGGAAAGCCTTAACAGGCCCCGGCCTTCCCGCTTTGTTTGAGGACGGCTCAGGGAGATCCTCACAAGGGTGGTATGTAGCCCAAGGCTCCCGAATACTCCCCACTGCTCCCTAAATCCTAAGCGATTCTAGGTACCTACTCCCCATGACGCCCCCTCCCGTAAGAACCCTACAACAAATCCGAGATGAAGGTATGGGGCAAGAAGGTTCAGGCCTAGTGACAGCCCCCCCCCCCAACTCCCCCGTTCTCATCACACACCGCAGCCCCTAAACCCTAAACCCTAAACCCTAGACCTACATCCCTTAAACCCCCGGAGGCCCCTTGTACCCCTTCTTGCTGTTGCTCTTCACCTACAAAAAAGAAGAACGAACCTAAGGAAACGGAAGAAGCCTGAAACCCTAAACCCTAAACCCTAAACCCTAAACCCTAAGAGCACACCCCCGTGTGCCGGACATCTGGAGGCCCTTGGACCTGGCAACCTCCGAACTCTTGAGCCCTCCAAGAAAAGGTAGGAGAAAAGAAGAAGACACCAGTAGAACTAAACCCTAAAGCCTAAAGCCTAAAGCCTAAAGCAATAAAGCCTAAACCCTAAACCCTAAACCCTAAACCCTAAACCCTAAACCCTAAACCCTAAACCCTAAACCCTAAACCTGAAGAGGGGGGGGCCTCCAGATTCCCACTTGCCCAAATTCCTTGTCCCACTCGGGTCGGCCAACGTTGGATTTGCAAATCCCCTGGGAAAGGAAGGGTCTAGAGTTTAGGGTTTAGGGTTTCGGGTTTAGGATTTAGGGCTTGGGGTTTAGGGTTCCTCGGACGAAGTTTTGGAGCTATACCGCCTGATCTCGCAATCTGCATCCCTGCAGGAGCACAAGCGCCCTCCTGCCCCCCCCCCCCCCCCCCCCCCCCCCCCCCCCCCCCCCCCCCCCCCCCAAGTGCCACACACGCAAAGCAAAGAGTGCATAACGATATGATATCTTATGATATGCTATGATATGATACCCTAAACCCTAAACCCTATGATATGATATGAGATGATATGACACATGGACTGACGTGACTGAATGAAGGAAGGAATGAGGAATGCATGAACCAGCATCCCGAACCCTTCCCGAGCCCCGGAATCCCAGTTTCGAAGAGTCTTCGAAGAGTTTTCAACACAGGCCCTAAACCCTAAACCCTAAACCCGAAACCCTAAACCCGAAACCCTAAACCCTAAACCCTCAATTTAAAAAGGCTCGTCTGCGCGGTCTCCCTCAAAACGTCTCCGTTCGGCCGAGGAGCGCATTCCGTGGGAGGGTCCGGCGGGTCCAGCGCCATGGCTTGGGGCGGCCCCGCGATTGAAGCTGTTTAGGGTTGAGAACCCTAAACCCTAAACCTAAACCCTAAACCCTAAACCCTAAACCCTAAACCCTAAACCCTAAACCCTAAACCCTAAACCCTAAACCCTAAACCCCCACAGCCATTTGCACCCGTAAATGCTACCGACTTACGGGGGTTTCCAGGGTTTCCAGTCACGCAGACTCATGTGCCTCTGACCAAGGGCCGAAGCTTCGGGACCCTGGGTATGCACGCGTCTCACAAGAAGCCAACAAGAAAGAAAGGAACAGGAAGGCGTTCGTTCAGGGCTTATACAGGGTAGGGTTTTGTATGGTTTAGAGTTTAGGTTTAGGGTTTAGGGCTTAGGGTTTAGGGCTTAGGGTTTAGGGTCAGGGTTTAGGGTTTTTTGGTTCCAAGGTTGAGGGTTTAGGGTTTGGACTCTGAACCAAGAGCACTATGCGTGCAGCATCCTCCAGGTTAAACTTTTGGGGTTGGCAGGATGCAGAAGAAGAGTTTCTTGTGACAGACAGCGCAAGGAAGGCGCTGTCCACAAGACCCAAAACAGACCAGTTTAGAGTTTAGGGTTTAGGGTCTAGGGTTTAGGGTTTAGGGTTTAGGCACTAGGGTTTAGGCACTAGAAACTTGACACAGATGGGCTTTGGAACATGGGAGCTCAAGATTCCAGGAGGCTACTGATGGTTGCAAGGAAAAGAACGACGACGACCAACAACCATGGCGAATGCTATGAAGTTTGGGTGGTTGTGTATAAAAACAGGTTGCCGCCCCTCATAGCAAGACCCTTGCCACAGCCATACAGAGCAGAACAACATACCGCACATGATCCATGCCCTTTTATGCCAATGTCGAGTTGCTGGCAATTTAACCCTGACTCAAATCCTAACCCTAAACCCTGAACCCTAACACCCTATACCCTATAGCCTAAGCCCTAAACCCTGACCCTGGAACCGCTTAACCCAGAACCCTGAAGTAACGGAGACCAGGGTCGTCCTTTTCGCCTTTGTTTTTCCTCTGCATGGGAAAACTCATCTGACGGAGACACGGGCACTACGCCTCTACTCCAGACTCCAGTTGCCTTGAGGATTCTGCCACACCCAAGGAGCCCAAGACACCGGGTTTTAGGGTTTAGGGTTTAGGGCTTAGGGTCAGATGTACATTCCCTGTCTCAAGGGTGTTTCCGATTTCCTTAGACCCTAGCGCCTGAAACCCGAAACCCCTCATCCTTGTGCGCTTTGAACTCCCTGGAAACATTTCTGTTTACCCTAAACCCTGAACTCTAAACCCGAAACCCGAAACCCTAAACCCTAACCCTAAACCCTAACCCTAAACCCTAGGCTTTTTGGAGCCATGGGAGCCACTCCTTGAGGATCTCACGGCTTCCTCGGCTCCGAGGGCGCTGATTCAGGGTTTAGGGATAGGATTTGGGGTTTGGGGTTTGGGGTTTGGGGTTTGGGGTTTAGGGTTTAGGGTTTGGGGGGAGGGGGTGGGGGGGGCTTGGAAAGTTGGGACCTCTCGTGGTTTGGGACTCTTCGAAATTTAGGTGGATGGTCCTTGGAGATTTCGAGTTGATAAACTCAGGGTTCGAGCAAGGTGCTGTACATGTCCATGCGACCAGCAAAGCAAGCACTCCACCCTAAACCCTAAAACCTGCACCCTCAACGCTGCTCCCTAAACTCTACACCCTATAGGCACCCTAAACGCTTAGACGGAAGCCTTGAACCCAAGAGCCCTAAACCCACAAAAGCCAAACGAAAACAAGCACGCTTGACTTCGTAAACCCTAAACCCTAAACAGCCCTAAGCCCTAAACCCTAAACCCTAAACCCGAAAGGCTCCTGCTCCCGAGCGTCCATACCAGGGCTTGCCACCCTGACGCTCTTCCGCCAGCTCAGCGCTGGGCCCAAAGGCCGGGTACCTTACACCACCACTTGGAGGTTCGGGGTTTAGGGCTCAGGGTGTTTAGGGATTGGGGTTTAGGGTTTAGGGTTTAGGGTTTGGGGTTTAGGGTTTAGGGTTTAAGGTCTAGGGTTTAGGGTTCAGGGGGCTTAGTAACCCAATTACAAGTGTAGTTCTAACCCACTTACAAGGCCCTTCATTACCCTAATAGGGTAAACAATTGGGTTACTAAGTACCATGAAACTCCAAGCAGGGCACAGTTGAAGGGTAACTAGAAACCATGTTAAAGGCATTCCAGGCCCCTTAACCCTAAACCCTCAACCCGGAACCCTAAACCCTAAACCCTGAACCCTGAACCCTAAGCCCTAAACCCTAAACCCTGAACCAGGTAAAGGAGAACTGTCTTAGAAGTGGGCCCTCTGCATTTGGGCCATCTGAACTTTGGCAGCTCGGTGGTGGAGGGTGGAGGGCTGAGGTTTAGGAGGGGGAATTGGGAGTTTGGGGCTTGAAGGGTTCGGGGTTCAGGGCCTAGGGTTTAGGGTTCGGGCTTGAAGGCTTCGGGGGTTGAGGGCTCACATTTGTTTTTCTTTTTTTTTTTTGGGGGGGGGGGGGGGGGGGGGGCTGGTTTCCCAAAAGAGGGGTGCCTTCTTTGGTGCCGGCTGAGGAACATTTTGGGGAGTATTCGGGTACCCCTATTTCGAGACACACATTTAGGGCAAATTTAGGGGGTCGTGGGAAACACTCTCGTGATGGGGGGTTTACTGGATTCGGGTGAACCAAACCAGGCATGAATTGTAAACGCAATGAATGGTTTAAGGCTTAAGGCAAGTTTCAGGGTTGTAGTGAACTTTCCAACTAGGGCTTTGCAAGGTCTTCGGGTGTTGAGGCTTCAGGACTTTGGCTCGAGGATTCAGGGCATTCCAGCTGGAAATTTAGCTTGAGGGTTCCAGGGTTGTCTCGAGGGCCATAACTTACAAAATGCTGGTCACGTGGTACACAATCATGGGTTTCCCTACTTGGAGGTTCCCGGCACTTATATATAAACCAAATATAACTGTACTTATAACCCACTTACAAGCCCCTTAAGTGCCCTAATATAGTTCAAAGTACACTAAAGAGCAGTTACAAGTACAGTTATAGTTATTAAATACCATGAACCTCCACGCCCAAGGTCTGAAATACCTTCAGCAGCCCATCCAGATGAGGGGCTCTGGCGCGTGGGTCACGCCATTCAACTCCAGCTTCTCCTGGGCAAAAATCGCAGGAAGACTCGAAATCCAAAAGGCCCAGACCCTCAAACCTCAAACCTCAAACCTCAAACCTCAAACCTCAAACCTCAAACCCTAAACCCTAAACCCTAAACCCTAAACCCTAAACCCTAAACCCTAAACCCTAAACCCTAAACCCTAAACCCTAAACCCTAAACTGCACAGCTGCCCACTTGAGAGCCCCTTCTGTGCGAGGCGCCGCGGGCTCAAAAGCCAAGGCAGAGAAGAGAGGCGTCATGCCATCCCCATCCACAGACCTCACGGCGGCTTTAGGGTTTAGGGTTTCGGGTTTAAGGCTGAGGGTTCGCTCAGAGGTTTATGGTTCCTTTTTTTGTAGGGTTCAGGTTCGAGAACTACCGGATGACCGGCACTTATCATTGAGTCGCCTCTGCGTCTCAACAACCTCTTGAGCAGACCATGCTATAACTACAATCTGGCAATCTTCGTGTGCACTGGTGCTGGAAACCAGCAGTCCACTTCCGCGAGACCCTTGATTCGGCACTCAAAAGCCCTTGAACCGTCACTTTTGTGCAAACCCTAACCTCCTTAAAATGAACACCTGAACCCTCAGCATCTTCCATGTTACTGAGCCGACACTATCCGAAAACCCATGCTGGGGTTTAGGGTTCAGGGTATTTAGGGTTTAGGGTTTAGGGATTAGGGTTTAGGGTTTGGCGTTTCGGGTTTAGGGTAATCCTGAACCACCCTCAACGTGGCCAACGTCGCTCGGCTCTGTTGGGAGGGGCGACTCGTCATCTGGCGCCGCGCCGCAGAATGCATACGCGCCTTTCGTCATGTCCTCTCATGCTGAGATTACTTGGAGGTTCCGGGTACTTGCAGGGTTTAGGGTCTAGGTTTTAGGGTTTCGGGTTTAGGGTACTCGTAACCCAATTATAAGTGTAGCTATGACCCACTATAAGCCCCTTAAGTGCCCTAGTAGGGCTATATTTGGGTTGGAAGTGCAATTATAATTGGGTTACTAAGTACTTTAAACCTCCAAGTAGGGTTCTTCGGGGAGAGGGGATCCCCCTAAGGAACGCACTTTTACGATCCTTGGGCTCGGGGCTTGTTAGGGGTCAGGATAGAAAGCACTCAAGATCTCACTTGGGGCGTTAAGGCAGTTGGGGTTTCCGAAATTGAGGGTACCTTACCGGGATCCTTGCAGCCTTGTATTAAGGGAATCCCGCTATTTGGGGGGCTATTTTAAGAGTCCCCAATTTTTGCAAACCCCCCAGTGAGATTTGGGATGATAAGCTGCCCCCGCCCCCCGTTACCAATTTCGGGCTTTTCCTTCGTAGCTGAAAAGCCTGAAGCCCTGAACTCCAAATCTCCCTGCAAGCCCAGGGGGTCCGAGGCCACCCCAGCGCGCGTGCCCTTGGAGCCGACCTGGGTTTAGGCCCTTTTAGGTTTTTGCTTCTTTGTTCTTCTCGGCTTTTCCTTTCTAGTGTTTGGGGGGTTTGGGGGTATTTGGGGGTTTTGGGAGTTTTTGGTGCTTTTTTGGGGTGTTTGCGGGTGTAGGGTTGACAAGGTGGAGGGGTGTCATCTTTGTGCACCAAGCAGAGCCCTAAACCCTAAATCCTACACCCTAAAGCCTAAACCCTAAAACCGAAACCCAAAACCCTAAACCCTAAACTCTAAACACTAAACCCTAAACCCTAACCCTAAACCCTAAACCCTAAACCCTAAACCCTAAAACCCTACATCTCAGACGCGAAGCCCGCCAAGCTCCAGCCCATGGACCCGACCTGTACCCCAAGCACAGTCTAAGCGGAAACATCGACATCCTAAAACCTAAACCCTATACCCTAATCCCTGAACC